TAGTTTGCTGATTTCACTGCTGTGTAGTGTTCGACTGATTGACTGTATCAACATTTATTTATCCATTCTACTCCTGATGGACATTTGGATTATTTCCAGTTTTGGCTACTATGAATAAGGTTGCTATAAATATTCCTGTACATATCTTTTGGTGAAACTGCTAGGTCGTAAGGTGTGCATGTGCTGATACCTAGTAGATACTACCAGAGTTTTCTAAAGTGGTTTTTTAACAATTAACACAAATCTCAGATTTTATAAAAGTCCCAGTTGCTCTGCATCATTACTGACAGTATTGTCAATCTTTTGCATTTTAGCCATTTTTGTGGGAATGTAGTATTATCACATTGTGGTTTTAATTTGCATCTCCTTGATTATTAATGAGATTGAGTACCTCTGCATATATTAATTGAACATTTGGATATCCTCTTTGTGAATTTGTTAAAATCTCTTCTTGCTTTTCTATTGAGATACCTTTTTTTAAAAAAAAATTGATTTTTACTTTAAAAAACATATTCTAGGAGCCTTTTTTGATTACATATGGAGAAATTTATTCTGTGACTTGCCTTTTCATTCTTTTAGCAATGTCTTTTAAAGAAGAAATTCTTAGCCAGGCATGGTGGTGTGTGCCTATAATCCCTGCTACTTGGGAGGCTGATGGGGGAGGCTGAAGTAGGAGGATACCTTGAGCCCAGGAGTTTGAGACCAGCCTAGGCAAAAGAGTGAGATCCAGTCTTAAAATAAATAAAAGCATATCATAATTTTAATGTCATCCAATTTATTAATCTTTTCCTTTATGTTAAGTGCTTTCTATGTCAAAGAGAATCTTGACTTACACCTAATGTCATGAAAATATTCTCCTCTGTTATATTCTAGAAGCTTTATTAGTTTACCTCTCACCTTTAGATTTATACTCCATCTTGAACTAATATGAGGTAAGAGTCAAATTTTTCCCCACGAGTATCCAATTAAAAAGCCCTTTTCCTATTGTCCTAGAATACAATTTTTTTTTCTTCCATAAATCAAGTGTCCTTTATATGGGTCTGTTTATAGATTCTCTGTTCTATTCAGTTGGTCTATTTGTCTATTCTTCCACCAATTGAGCACTGTATTAATTACAGGACCTTTATAATATATCTTAATAACTGGGAGAATAAGTCCTCTTTCCAGTTCACGAACGTACTATTCCTTCTATTTATTTTGGTCTTCTTTAATTTCTTTTAATAATTTTTATGGTTTTTTGTTAGCATTCTTACACATTTTTGTTAATATTTTATATCATATTAAAACATAAAAGAAGTCCCAATTTAGAGCCAAGCAGGTGTGTGCGTGTGTGTGTGTGTAAGTGAACTAGATCTAAAATATACAGGGAAGTACATAGGGTCAAGAATAGCTAAATACCCTTGAAAAAAGGTAGAACTTACTTTTAAATGTATTAATTCAGTTTTTACAAAACTAAATTTATCAACTATTTTGCCACTGTTTTAAATTTTCAAGAAGTACTCAATATCTTAAATGTGAAACTTATACAAAATTGGCATTCAACTAAGCTAGGATGCAAACACATTGCACAAAATGAACAGGATGTCATGTCTATGGGGAAATAAAAACTAGACTAACGCAAAAATTAGATTTCAGTTTCTCAAAGGCTGTTGAAATCATCTCAACAATTTGTCATGCCATGAACTTTGTAAGTAGGTAATAGAAACAAATTTTATCTGATAACTGGTCATATATGTATCTAAGGCCCGGGAGAGGTCAGGGTTAGAATTTTGGTTCTGAAAACAATATATATGTTAGATGTTAATGTCCTATGAGTGGAATCATGTCAAGAGAAAAGAGTGGTAAGTCAACAGAAATATGAAGAACAGCAATATTTAGGTAAGCTAAAAAAGAATCCATTTGGGACACAAGAAGCAACAATCAGAAAGGCAGAAAGAAAATCAGGAGAAATAGTGCCAAGGAAATAGACTCAGGATGTTGTCAGTAGTTAAGTGTCAAATACAAGCAGAAAAGTCAAGTAAAATGAAGATTTGAAGTGTCCATTAGATACAGTAGTAAAGATGTCGAGGTTAACCATCTCAAAAATTATTTCAGTGGCAGAAATAAGCAGGTTTCAGAGTGACAGAAGGTAATAACATGGAAACAGAATCTGGTTTAACTAAGAAGAGAGAGTGTGTAGCAGTCAATAGAGAAGCAGATTTTCAGAGATTTTTAGTTTTTAAATTTTAGGATGGAAGATACTCAAGCATGTTATAGATTGCAGGGGAAGAGCCAGTCAAGAGTAAAGAGGCTGAAGAGACAAGGAATAATTGACAGAGAAGATGGTAGGATGTAGGTTAAAAACAAACATAGAAGGAAATTGACCTTGATCAAGACCGTTCATTTTCTGAGACTGGGAAAAAAGGTGGTTAGAATGTGCACAGATAGAATTTTTTGTTGGTGAGGGAAGAGAGAATGTTTCAAATAGGACAGAACTTTCCAATCTTTTTCACAACAAGACATTCATAGAAAATGATCGTATTTGGGATAAATGGATGAGGCTGTTTACAGCTAAAGGTCATGACTTTAAAGGTTTCTAGCGCCAGGTTTGGATACATAAAAGTGCAAGTAACAAAGGATATCTGAATGACAGTACCTTAATCAATAAAAACACTTAAATATCTTAATTAGATGTTGGGGGTTAGGCAATTCCCAGGTTTGTACAGTTAGGTCCAAAATATTATCAAAGCCCAGGTCTGAATGTCTGTGCTTCCCCCAAATTCTTACGTTAAAATCTAACCCAAAGGTGGTGGTATTAGCAGGTGGAGCCTTTGGGAGGTGATTAGGTAATGAGAACAGAGTCCTCAGGAATGGGATTAGTGCCCTTAGAAATGAGGCCTGAGAGAGCTGCCTTGTCCCTTCCACCATATGAGGACATAGACAGAAAACCAGCCCTCACCAGACACTGAATCTGCCAGTGCCTTGATCTCGGATTTCCCGCTCTGCAGAACTGTGAGAAATACATTTCTATTGTAAGCTACTCAGTTCATGGTATTTTGTTACAGCAGCCCTAAAAGCCTAAGACAACGGGGTCTTTCCCTGTTTTTCTTCTAAAAACTTGTTTTCAGTCCGTAGGTTTGTTGCCTCATGATCAAGCATCACATCAGTGTTCAAAGCAGGAAGAGAGAGAGAGAGGGAAAAGACAGTCTATACAGGAGGAAAAACTTTTCCAAAAATCCTGAGTTCCTTCCCAGCAGACATATCATTTTATTTCATTAGCTACAAGATAGCTAATGAACCAACTGAAGGGAAGTGAGGAAAAGTGTCTGTGTTCCTCAATTCTATAGTGAGAGGCAGGCCAGAAGGAGGAGGCAGGAGGCAGGAGGGCAAGAGGAAGTTGAGGCTGTTCAAGCTTGAGGACCTCAATCCTTTGGCTGTTACCTCTAATTTAGGAAACCTTGTATGTGTTTATAATCCTTTATATTAACTTGAGGCATTTTTTTGGTGAAATAAACTGGTTTAAGTCTTCTCATATTTCATAAATTTTCTGTTCTCATTGCTTGCCTTAAATACTTAGCATCATCATCATCTTCATCATTAGTAAACTTACAGAGTAAGTGTAATTAATGCAGTCCTTAGTGATTCTGAATATTTGAAGTTATTTTTCTCTGTTTTATTTTTGACACGCCTCTCCTTAAAGTACTGAGTGGCAGTTTTGGAGGGGATGGTGATCACATATTTGCTCAGAAACCATTGATAGTAGCTTACTAAATTCTTACTGATATGTTGATGTCCTTTCATTGTACATGTAAGCATAAGCAAAGTCTAGGGGGAAGAAAATTAAAACAAAAGAACTATTTTGTGAAAAACATGTTTGAGGACAAATTCCATCTCTCAGAAAATGTTTCATGTAATTACATCAAGAGAATAAAGATGCAAAACATCTAATGAATTGGGGGAAAAGATGTAAAACATATTCATGGAAGCATACTAGGTTTTAAATTGCTCTCTAGATTGTATTATTTAGAACAATCTCGCAATGCTTATTATATTATGTGCCTGCAGGTCCTGAAAAGAAGTGTTTTTTATTAGATTATGTAGATTAAATGACTCTATGTGAAACACTATATTGTATGTTTTAATCTGTGGTTAGTAGCTTAAAAAGAAACTTTACTTTTCAAACTATTTTTATTGTATAGGCAGTCTGTGTTAATGCTGTGCTGGAGAAGATAAAGAACATCTTCCAGGAAGAAGAATCCATAAGGCAAAACAGAGAGGAGAGTGAAAATTGTAGAAAAGCCTTTTCTGAGCCTGTGCTTTCGGAGCCTATGTTTGCTGAAGGTGAAATCAAAGCAAAACCTTACAGGTCACTGCCGGAGAAGCCAGACATTTCAGATTACCCCAAGCTTCTTGCTAATAAGCCGAGTAATAAGATCCAAGTTTTACATTCTGTGTTTGACCAATCAGCTGAAATGAATGAGCAAATCTGAATACAGGTATCACTGAACAGAACCTAAGAGTTATCTATTTAATGGCACATTTCATCTGACAAAACTCAGAGTCTAGTTTACATATTCTGAATTGCTCTGCTTTCTTAAAAAAAAGAGAAGGGGGCTACTATTAAAATGTCATTTTCTAGTATTTACATGATAGAGTAAATAAAATGAATATTGATGTGGAATATAGGTACTGACTATATACTTTTAATGAACAAGAAAATCCATCCTTTGGTGGGTGAGACTTTACACTGTGGTTTATAATATAAGCATATTTATAATACATTAACGTTTTTATTAAAGACTTGTTTTGAGAGTCTAATTCTTAGGAGAAAAAAAAAAAGCCCTATCAAGATGCTGCATATCAAAATAAAAGGATAATTATTTTTTATATGCAGACTGGAGAGTTTGAGTCTGCCTATTATTACTTTGTAAATCATTTGTAAAGTTATGAAGGATTTGCAATTCACAGATGTCATAAATTTATAAAACAAAATATTTACAAATGTGATGAGAAGATTTCTGTATATGAAGACAGTACATATGATATTTTTTATTTCTACATTTAGAGATACAAATTTAGAATGAAAAATCAAGTGCACACTACTCATTATTCCCAGTGGCTCTTACAAGAAAATATTTCTGTAATTATTCTTGCAAACCAGGGCTACAGTTTTTGCCTGAAGAAAGTACTTTGATTTTCTTCTATACATTTTATATTCTGGACACGTGTTAAGACCTGACTGGGCATTGAAGGATTATCACATGATAGAATAGACCGGGATGTACCTTCCTGAGAGACAGTATATTCTCTGTACTTAGTGAGTAGTTGCTGCCACAAACAGTGTCTATAAAAAGCACAAGTCTGGTTCGTCGGTTGTCTGAGAAATGAGGACCAAGTGCTACTCATGCTATCCGTACTCCAACAGAAAAGGAAGTGTAATAATATGTAGCAAGGGTCCCTGTAAGCAGAGTCTTTACTATATAGACCTTATTCATTTACTATTTTTATAATAACCAAGGGAAAGAGTCCAGGTCAGCTCCTTAGAATGTTAAGTATTAGATTTAGATGCTTAATGTAATTCTCCTCCTCTAAACGTATTACTGTGCTTTGCGACTAGGTTCCAATCTTGACAAAAAGTTCTTCTCACTCTGAATACATCATCTACTCATTTTGGCTATTTCTGGTCCCACATAGTGGTGATTTTTGCGTGAGCACTGACGATGCAAAAATCACCACTATGTGCTGCTGATTTTTGCATGGTGGGTGTCTGGGGTGTTATTTTAAATACATTACAGCTAGTATGGTATGAGCACCAGGCAACTGAACAGTACTGACCATAAATAACTGACATGATAAAACCAGGGTGAACCAACTGAACAACAACCTTGCCTGGGAACTCCAAGGAATAAAATCCTAGATCTCTCTATAATATTTATAGGAGACACTTAGTTGTACATACATTCACATAAAGTTCTAAAAAAATTTTTAAAACCTTTATTTGAAAATTTCATATAGGCATTCGAAGTACACTGGCTCACTGAATAGGAGACTTTACATCTCTCATGGCTGGGCAGCAGCTGTGTCTGGCTTCCTTACTTCAAGATCTGCCTTGATCATAGAGAAACTAAGCCAAGGTTTATTTGGTTTTGATGTCTAGCACATTGGTTAAGTTTCTTATTTTCAAGTTCAGCAGGTAAACTTATCTCATTTTTGGAGGTATTTTTAAAGTATAAAAAGTCTGCTATGTTATTTGGGAAAGTTGTACAGTTCAGATGTGAACATTTCAATGTATTTAAACTTTACCTAAAAATGTAAAAATAACAATCAAATAGGAGAGGTAGGGAATCCATAGAGGTATAAATAAAACAAGAATGGAAGAATGCTGATAACTGTTAATGCTGAGTGATGGAAGTTCATTATATAGTCTACTTTGTATATATTAAAACTTTTTCAGAATTAAGTCTGCTACATCAAACAGGGATTTTTTCCTATTTTAAAAATTAAATTAAAAAAATTTTCTTACTAAACCTTAATTTTTACCTATTATTTGTTTACTCCAAATTTATTTTCATCCTTCTTAAACAGAACACCCTAAACCTATAACCTTCAGGTTCTAATTAATCCAGAAGATTAGATAAAATGTATTCTATTGATCCTGATAATCCTTACATCATACTAAGTATGTGTGCTCTTAAACCTCTCAAATTTATATGAGTTTTAAATAGTTGTGCCTATCTTGAAAAATTTCATCACCTTTAAAACTGAAGCAGTTATTCTAAAAATGTTTTCAAGCATACACAATATTTTTCATTTATATATTTTTTTTTATCGAGAAGAACTCTTAATTACTTTGAAGTCTCCAGTGGCATAAAAATCAGAGTCACACTTAAAAGGTTCACTAGAAAGAGTCACATAAATATTCCCATTGTCTACTGTCACTGTGTGAATCCTTTGCTTTACTCCTTTGGAGCACCACTTGGGTTTTGCTGATGGATCTTTAGGGTTTATAGACTGGTACAGACCTTCTCCTGTTGCCAAAGTAATTTTGTATTTATGCCAGGGGCAAACTATACACGGTCGTCCATCAAAATCCTGGGGAAGAGAATAACTCATTTAATATTCTGACATGTCAAATGTTCTTGATACACCATAGACTCTGAAGAGAATCTGCTGCAGAAGAACCAGGTTAAAAAACAGGTTAGCTTTTCTTTTTTCCTCCTATTTACAAATTATACAGCATAAAGCAGATCCTAATCTGAGAAGAGTCATCAAGCTCTTTTACAGTTGATTAGAAAGCCAGTTAGAGCTCTATCAGAAGACTGACATGCTCAGGCAACTAAAACATGTGACTGCAGCTGTGCGGTTATCTATCAGATGTTAATGTCACCTCCTTGACAGAAATGGGGCAAGGACTTCAAGTGCTTCTATAGGAATTTTCACTAGCTTCTAGAAGAATTGTAAGGTTCGGATATAAATTCAAAAGGAGTTACTAAAGGCATGAGTGCATATGATAATAGAAGAGCAATCTGTGATCCAAAGTAGTTAATTCTCAACTTTTTAACTGTCTTGGTGAAGTGCTTCTCAAACACAGGAAGCACCTGGATCTGGTTTCAATGTATGTCTCTCTGTTTAAATGTAGTACGTCTAAGGGGTTGGGGTGACAAGATTCTGCATGTCTAAAAAGCTCCCATGTGACACCAAAGTTGCTGGTCTATGGACAACAGTTTGAGGAGCAAGGTCTTCAAGCTCTCATTATTGATTGAAACTAGGGAAAATTCTATGAAACTATTATCAGCTCACAAATGTAAGTGGGTGCTTTCATTTTTCCCCTCTATATCCAAAAGTGCAGGAATATTGATTTGTACTTTCATTTGGTGACTGATTTGTACTGTCAGCAAAGATTCACATTTTCATAATTTACATTACATAAAACTGTCAGCAAAGATTCACATATGTAGTTTTGGACAACGGGAAAAAATAGAAAAAATAAACACACATATGTTCTTTAACATGAGGACAAGTGTGTACACTTATCAAGTGTAGAGAAAGTGGAATGTTAAGTTCAAGCTTGTACTTTGCATCAGTTAGAGAGAGAGAGAGACCAATTTCATGAAGAAAGAAGAAATTTAGGTGACTACCTTTGGAATCCAAGGAAGCAAAGACAAGTTCTTCCTCAGTTAAGACTACCGTGTGTTTTATCTCTTTAAAAATATATTTATACTGTATATTTTTGTTTTAAAAGTAATATATACTCATTGTAAAAAAATCAAATTATGTAGAGTGTATAAAGTAAAAAGTGAATATTCTTTTTGATGAAAAAAATGAGATCTCATAAGACTATTATCTTATGACTTGCTTTTTTCAGCCACAAATACATTGTTCACATCTCTCCATACCCATATAGATCTGCCTCATTAATTTAATGATTGCATGGTACAGTTATTCCACAGCATGGCTGTATCATAATTTATTTAACCAGTTTCCTATTGTTAAAACATTATAATGAATAATTGCCTTCAATTCATTATAATAAATAATGCTACAATGAATCATTCCTATACAAATACTTAAACATCTGTGCAAGTATGGCCATAGAATAGATATAGAGTATAATTGCTAGGTCAAAAGATATGCATATTTCTCATATTTATCTTATGAATTCCCAGAATACTTGAAATTATACTCAAAGCATTAAAATATAGTTCAAACCAACTATAAATTAGTTTTGAATATATGTATATGCTGAATTTGCTGAAAACAAATTTAATTTTACATACCTCTATATCTCCCAAATGTAAAGGTCCTCCTGAGTCTGAAAAGGAATCGGATATTACCTGCAGTCACTAAAAAACTGAAATTTTGATAGTTTTATGGTTTAAAGTTTTACAAATGAAAAATAAAATCTTACGGTAACAGCGAATATCCATAGCATGATATTCTCCCTTGTGGTAGAAAATGACCACTTCTCTATCATGGACAACAGCTGTCATTCTTTCAGATTTTTTAATGTCATCTTCTCTGCCCACACAGACAGAAGAATATTCCCTCTTTTCAGGATCTTGTGCAGAGCCATCAGGATTCATGCTAGCTGAACGTAAAGAAGGAAAGTTACAAGAAGTATTCACTAATTTGGTTCCAACTTAATGGAGATAACCATAAGAATGAATAGTTTGGACTTTTCAAGATTAATGAAGGCACTTTCTGTAGCTACAGAAAACATTTATAAATACTGGATGATGATGATGATGATAATGATTATTATTATTATTATTTTGAGACAGAGTCTCACTCTGTCACCCAGGCTGGAGTGCAGTGGCATGATCTCGGCTCACTGTAACCTCCGTCTCCCAGGTTCAAGGAATTCTCCTGCCTTGGCCTCCTGAGTAGCTCTGATTACAGGAGCCCACCACCATACCTGGCTAATTTTTGTATTTTTAGTCGAGACAGGGTTTCACTGTGTTGGCCTGGCTGGTCTCAAACTCCTGACCTCAAGTAATCCACCCACCTCAGCCTCCCAAAGTGCTGGGATTACAGGCATGAGCCACTGCGCCCAGCCATAAATACTGGATTACATTAAGTAGACAGTCATTACTTTGCGTTAGAGACTCTTAAAGACTGCCAAAATTAGGGAGGATTCCTCACTTTGAGGCTAGAGTTATATATTAGATTCATTTCGAGGTCAAGAAGGAAATTTCAGAACTTGTAAAACATAGAAATTTAAGTTTCACTATCCCTTTATTTCCTATCAAATTTAACACTAAACAACATTCAGTTATTATCTGCATTGTTCTCAGCCTTCTGCTGAAGGCAGGATTCTTTGTCTGAATAGTCTTCAGCCTCTTGGCTAAGGTGGTCCACTTGGTTTTGCCTAGAGTACATAGTTGGCTCTTACAGGCACAACCAGATAGTTATTACAGCAAGAGAAGATGGGTATGAATGAAAACTTTTCATTTTCTTACCTCAGATAAAAACTGGTCACTGAGATGACAGCTGAGCTGAAATGCCCAAAATGCAAATGAACTAGACATGCCAACAGCTGGGGGAAGAGAATTCCATACTGAAGGAATAGCAAATACAAAAGCCTGAAGGAAAGAAAAGTCTTGGTGAATGTGTTCCAGAAGACTGGAACATCATGTACAAGATTGGTAAATAGGCAGGAGCCAGGTTGTGCAGTGCTGTGTACAGATTTTACTCTAAGAGCAAAGGAAAGCCACTAAAGAGTATAAAGCAGGAAAGTGTGACTTGATTTCTTTTTGAAAGAATGCCCCAGCTCTGTGGAGAATGGATTATAGCAAAACAACAATGGATGCACAGAAATCAGAAAGCTAGGGGTCCATGAAAAAGATGGTGGTTTGCCCCAGGGGGTTGACGCTGTAGGGGAGAAAAAGTAATAGTAACACTAGCAGCAGTAGCTACAATTATATTGTGTTAACTATGTGCCAGGCACTATTCTAAGGCTACATTTATTTATTAACTTCTTTAATCCTCCATGTTACTAAAAAGGTATCATTATTTTAATTTTATAGTACAGAGAAGTTGGGTTGATGAACTAGAATGAAGATGCTATAGAAAAATAAATAAAGATGACTCCCAAGTTTTAGGTTTGTGCAGCTAGGTGAACTGTAGTGCAAAAGACTGTGATGAGAAAGGCCAAGAAATCAATGGTATTTTTGCAGGATGGAAAATCAAGAGCTATATACATTTTTCACATATTGAGTTTAAGGTATCACAGAGACATCCAAGTAGAGATATCAAGTCAGCAACCAGATATAAGAGACTAAAGTTGAGAATTTCTAGAGAGAAAAATTGGGGAGTTTCCAGGTTATAGAATTCTATGGACTCACCTGGAGAGGAAGTGTATGTAAGGAAGAAGGTCTAAGACAATTCCTGAAGCACTTCAACATTTAGGGGTCAGGTGGAAGAGTGGTTGTAGAGACACAAGACCAGTAGAGTATCCAATCTATTGCTAATCAAATGAAATTCATTCACAGCTTTCTTCTCTATCTTATATTCTCCTTGAATTGCAAATAGGTGGTAACCTAGAAAAAAAAGGCAGGCAATGAGGCCAAATAAATTCCAATGCTGGTCACGTCTGTGTACTAAACAATAAATAATACATGAAGAAAACTCGAGGATCCTAGGAAACTGTCCTGACACTATGGTTGCTCTATAAAGAGTTGGGCCTACCCTGTACCCTTTTCTCTTTGTAAGTTCATTTACTCCCTATACATCCACCCTCCTAGAAATCAAATACTGATTAGTATCCAAGTAAGAGCTTATATTCAGAATATAACCATTACTACTCTCTTTTCCCTGTATTTCTAAAGTTTATCTCCTAGTCTACTCTTTAGTATCCTTTTGGCCAAATATAGAAATTAAAAGGTGGGAAAAAAATCAAGACTAAGAAATATCTCAATATTATTTTTAGGAACAGGCTTAAGGGTTATAGGTTTGATCCTGTCCTAGCATCAAAATAATGACTCAGGACAGTGGCTCACACCTGTAATTCCAGCACTTTCGGGGTGGGAAGATCACTTGCCAGGAGTTCAAGACCAGCCTAGGCAACATACCGAGACCCAGCTCTACATAAAAATGTTTTTTAAAAATTACCCAGGTGGGTTGGTACTTGCCTGTAGGGTTGGCTGCTTAGGAGGCCCAGGGAGGAGGATCACTTGAGGCCAGGAGTTTGAGGCTTCAGTGAGCTATGATCACACCACTGTACTCCAGCCTGGGCAACAGAGTGAGACCCTGTCTCTAAAAATATTTTTTTAAGAAAGAAGTTTGTTGTGAAATGCTCAAGATATTAAACACACACTTATCTACAAATATTTAACAAAATTACAAACCAGGGGTCAACTTCAAATAAATATTCTAACTTTAGGAAGATACTTCATCATCCATGCCTTTTTCAAATATAGTAATATTGTAATATTTCACAGGAAGTTAAACAATATAATGTACCTTTCCTTGATCAACAGGAATCTGCATTTTAATTCCACTCAAGTCTTAGGTTACCATTTTACATAAAAACACATATATCCAACTTCTTTTTTTTTTTTTTTTTTGAGACAGTTTCACTCTGTAGCCCAGGCTGGAGTGCAGTGGCTCAATCTCGGCTCACTGCAAGCTCCACCTCCTGGGTTCACGCCATTCTCCTGCCTCAGCCTCCCAAGTAGCTGGGACTACAGGTGCCCGCCACCACGTCCAGCTAATTTTTTGTATTTTTAGTAGAGACAGGGGTTTCACCGTGTTAGCCAGGATGATCTCGATCTCCTGACCTCCTGACCTCCTGACCCGCCCGCCTCGGCCTCCCAATGTGCTGGGATTACAGGTATGAGCCACCGCGCCCGGCCCTATCCAACTTCTTTAAAGAAGGCATTTGTACCTCAGTGTACCTAGCTTAGAATGGTTACACACTATGGGCCAGTCCCCTCCCCAAAAAAGAGAAAATGTTTTCATGGAAGTGCCAAGTGACTTTAGGCCTTCTGCAGAGAATTTTCCTGATGGCTTCTCTAAATATTTATTTAAGCCTGTATAACTGATTGGAAGTTTTAAAATGTTAGCAGAAAAAGAGCATGGTTCATTTAAAAAGTAAGTTTATGAAACAAAAATTATTAAGAGTAAAATCTCTATGTTAGTGTGTTAGGAGTGAGCTTTAGAAAAAGAGAATTTATAGGTCACTATTTTGAGAGAAATAGTTCTGAGCCATGTGGAAGACAAATATCAGATATCATTGTAAGTCTAGGCTCCAAAATTGAGGTGTAGATAGAGAGGTATGTGTGTGCATGTTTGTGCATGTGTGCATGTGTGTTGATGGGGAGAGGCAGGGGCTTTAAATTCAATGTATAAAGGAAGGCATCACACACATCAAGCTTAGAAAATTATAGGGATGTCAAATTTGCACTCTGGTTTGCATTTTTAATTCTTGCTCTAACCAATTTTTTTAAAAATGGGGGGATACAAAATACATATGCTGTTTTTAAAAATTATCTCACAATAAAAAAGAAAAATTTATTATTTTAAAGCTAAGGCAAAGAGGACCAGGGCCATGATTTTCTGGGTTAGCTATGGCTGACAGGAGGCAGGAATACTATCTCTGAATGGTCATCTGGTTTTATTTGATTTTGGCAGGTACTCAAAGAACATAAATTGCTCAGGTGGCAGTATTTACCTTCAGAGTTGGGCATGCAGCCTTCATCGCATTTTGTGACAGAACAGAGGCATAATAATAAGAAAAATGGGAACAGACAAAGGAATAAACTGAAGGGGAAACAGGCTAAAGAAAAAGAAAAGAAAGAAATGTGGAATTTGCAATACATATAACTGACAAAGGCTTGAGATTCAGAATATATGAATAACTCCTATAGGCCAGTAAAAAAAATAACAAATAATCATAGAAAAATGGGCAAGACATGAACAAACATTTCACAAATAAAGAAATCTGAATGGCCAATATATGTAAAGACATTCAACCTCATTAGCAGGAAAACGCAAAGGAAATGCAAAGCAAAGTCATTAATGTGATACTATTTTCTATCCACCAGGCTGACAAAAAATTATACCAAGTATTGGTGAAAATACGGAACTGCTAGTGATAACATAAATTTGTGCTACCACAGTTTGGCATTACCTAGTAAAGTTAATAATAATAATAATCCCACTTTGGGTATACGCCACAGAAATGCGCACAGATATACCAGGAAATATACACAAGAATAGTTATGACAGCAAAAAACAAAAACACAAAACCCATCAACAGTAGAATGGAATGTGTGTATGTTCATTCAATGGAATGCTGTGCAACAGTGAAAAATGTATCTCTACATCAAGTTGGATTAATTTCAAAAAACATAATTGCAAGTGAAAAATTTAAAAAGTCAGAGTATGTTTCCATTTTTATCACAAAAGTGGCAAAACCAAACAGTATATTATTCATGGATATATGTACTATAGGGTAAATATATAAAGAAAAGCAAGGAGATAATAAACATTTCTTAAATGTCTAAAAATACTTATTTCTTATATTTAAAATTACTCTTTTCAAGACTTAAGTTGTATCCTAATTTGTATTTATGTAGCAAATGACCCCAAACCCAAGAAAAATGGAATAAAATTGCCCTTTCTATCCTCAGAGAATGTGCCTGTGCATAGATCATGAATGGACTATTTTGAGACTTTTGTACAGCTAATTTCAAAACTTGGCACCAAAGGAGGAATGAATAGTTCTTTTTTTTTCCTTCCAGGCAAAAAATAGAAAAGTACTATCAAAAAGTAATGAAATACAAGAGATGTAGTATAATATCAAAAGTTAATTATGTTTTCCCAACTCCCAAATAAATGAGAACCAAATACAGGCCTTTCTCAAATTGGAGTCACTACAAACTTACAGTCTTTGCAAGGTTTGCCTCCAACCCGAAAAACTGGTGAACTTTGAAGGGGCTGATAAAAAAGGAGCAGAGAAGACTGGGGCTAAACGATAAAGGCTTCAGAGAACTATGATTATAGCCTTGCATTTTGCTTGGAAAGTATTATTTTATATGTCAAATAATAGTTTCCTCTATGTATCTTAAATGGTACTATTTATAATATCTGATGACTTTTTACATTTAACACCCATATTATTCTTACTATTGTGAGTATCATGAACCATTCAGACAACAGGAAAAGCCCATGTGTTCACCTTAATTATCGTTATTTTGATGAACTATTCATAAACTCCCAATGTATTTCAAGTCTACTTTAAGATAGTGGAATCTTAACTGAATGAAATAGAAAATTAAAGGACTCATCCAGTTTGGGGGCTAGATGAAAACTTCCCCTGAAAAATTTAGTTGTGTTCCATGTTCTCGTCGAGAAAAATTTTTGGCCTGTCCCTAAAATTGGTTTCTAAAGGTGCTAACTCCATGTAAAATTACAAATCAGCTGAATGGATACTCGGTCACTATTAGATCCCTTTCCAACACAGGAAATAAATTCAAGTTGAATTTTTAAAAATATTTAGTGTAACTCAAATTTCCACAAGTCACTGAAGATAAAAGAGACACGAAGTGAAACGTACTTACTTGTCACTCCTCTTGAGCCATGACTAAGGTGCTTTTACTAAGTCTGGAAACTTTGCCTACACATTATCAGAATGCTTATCTCAAGTTTGACACCCTTGCTTTTAGGTGCAGGGAAGAAAAATGTCTTAGTAGTCTCTGAATGGCAGAATAATAATGGATAAAACTAGCTGTCCTTCAGTAAATGCTTACTGCTTGGACCCTTTGAATATAATAGTTCATCAGTCTTCACAAAACCACCAAGGGGTAGGCATTAGTTTTATTCAGGTAGCACCCACTTTTTAATAAAAACATGGGGCTTGCAAGTAAACTACCCTGAAGACACAAAAACCTTTTAGCAAAGCAAAATTCTAGCAAAGCAAAAAAAAATGGTGATATATATAGTACTGATATTTATATATGTCACCAAAGATGTGATCACGAGTGAGCTAGACCTGGGTTTGCATCCCAGTTCTGCGTGATTTGGGGCAAGTTGCTTAATTTCGCTGTGCTGCAGTTTTTACTGTAAGAAGGGCCCGCCACATCGGGGTGCACATAGGGTAAAGCACATAAATGCTTTCACACACGTCAAATGTTTAGAGCAGGCCTAACGCAGAAAAAGCTCAAAGCGCGTTGGCTGGCACCTCTAAGGTCCATCCAGCTCTGGCAGTTATCCTGCCTAACTTCAAGCTGTGTTTAACATTTCGGTAAAGACGGCCTGCAGTTCGGAGACTGCACGTGGCTGTCCAGGTGCTGTAAATTCTCCACTACAGACTCCAGGAGAGAGTATCTCCAGGACGGCCGGGGCTGCAGTAGCCTGGAGCAGCTTCTATACTTTAAAGCGCACAAATGCCATGAAAGCTTGTTAGAACGACCCGCATACCCCCCTGAGGTGGCAGGTCTCAGGTGTAGCCCAAGTTTCAAGGTGAACAAGCTCAGTGGGTCTCCTGTGCCTGGGCGGAAGCCTGCCCTGGCGGGTTAACAGTTAACGCTGAACCGAAACCCAGGAGGGCCTCAGGCCTCGCAGCGGCCCGGAGCAAAGGCCACAGGCCAGCAACCCCGCCACAGCCGGAATGCCGAGTCCCCGCCCGCGGCCCAGCCGGAAGCAGCTGGTCCCGCGAGCCCGCCCCCTGCGCGGCGAGAACAGAACTTACTGTCCCCGAGTCCTCGCTCCGCCTCCGCGTGACGCTACTGCGCGAGCCAGAGCTCCAGACTCGCGCGGCGCCTCGACGGGGCGGGGCAAGGTCGTCCACGTGACCGGAGCAGGCCCGCCCCCAGGACCGCCTCTATGGCATTGCCGGCAGATGACCCTGACCCTGGTTGATAGAGATCGCTGGCCAACAGCGCCTAGCCAGCACCTTCAAACGGACAGGCCTACTCGTGTGCTTGACAGATGTGGATAGCATCAGTTTACTTTTTAGATGTTTGTTGGTCTCATTACATTTATTCAAATTTTAGATGCGCCCAGCGATTTCGTTCAGGAATTTACCCTATACAAATATTTGCAGGTCTTTGCGATGCTTGTAATACATGTATAAGGCAGGGCGTGGTGGCTCACGCCTGTAATCCCAGTACTTTGGGAGGCCGAGGCGGGCGGATCACCTGAGGTGGGGAGTTTCAGATCAGCCTGACCAACATGGAGAAACCCCGTCTCTACTAAAAACACAAAATTAGCCGGGTGTAGTGGCCCATGCCCGTAATCCCAGGTACTCGGGAGGCTGAGGCAGGAGAAGAGCTTTGAACCCAGAGGCAGAGGTTGCGGTGAGCCGAGATGGCGCCGTTGCACTCCAGCCTGGACAACAGGAGCGAAACTCCATCTCAAAAAAAAAAAAGGATGTTTATTGCAATGAAATAATGAGAATAGCTAAAGTGATAACACGGAGGAATGGTTCAATAAAACACAGCACAACAGTACAGACGTGAATTACTTCGTGGCTGTGTACTGTATACTCAAAGGACAGGTCCATGATGCAATGAATATTAAAGGCAAAGCATGGAATACTACATGCGGTGTGCTGTCTTTAATGTAAACAAAAATTATTTTTTGAAATACAAACATGCAGGTATGTATATAAACTTTTTCTCAAAAAATCAAAAGAAATAATAGTGGTTGCTTTGGGAGGAGATGGAGAGTTTTCACTTTCATATTTTGAACTTTGCAATTTTGCTTTTTTCTCATTATACTTCCCTGAATTGACAACAACAGCAAAGAAAACCACCAAACCTTCATACTTGTGTTCCGAGCTGGGAAACTAGATGAGCCTAAGTTTTTAAAAGTTTCCTTGACTACCTTCCAATGCAGTGGTTCTTAACCCTGGCTATGCCTTAGAGTCGCTTGGGAGTTTTGAAAAGTCGTGATGCCCAGTCTGTATGCCAGACCAACAAAATAAAACACAGATTTATTTGGGGTTGGGGGCGGGTGGGCAGATTCAATATATGTTTTTAACTTCCTGAGTGATTCCAGTGTGAACCCAAGGTTGAACGCTACAACTTGTATTTAGTATGGTGACATATTGATCTCCGGCTCTAGGGTGGCCCAGTGAACCTAGGGCAGCCGAAACCCAGGAACTTTGTCCATTTACCTCAGTGTGCTATATAAATGCCATTTTTTAAAATGAGCCTCAACCTGTAAGAAGTTGAATAGCTCAGAATAATTTGCCTCCAGTGCTAGTTTCTTCTGATTCTATTATTTTCAGTACAGTTTTAGGGTGATCAATAATATTTTATAGGGTCATTTCCCTTTTGGCCATTTATTTCACTGACCCAAACAAATTAACTATCTAGTTTTGATGTATCACTTATCAAAGAGATAAACTATATTTTGATTTATTATAATTTCCATTATCTGTTAGTCATCCCAAATGATTTTATTGGCACATGGAAGGTGTTAGCAGTCCCCAGCTTGTCATCAAAGGACTAAATAAGGTTTGCCATTTTAGAAATCCTTTTTCACTTTGTCATATTCTGGACATTAAAAAAGGACACATCTTAGATCCATCGACCTTAAATTTGATTTTGAATAAACTGAAGACCTCAGTAGTTATACATGCATACACACACAAGAAGGATGAAAGAAGAGAAACTTTCTTTTATCTCTACCAAAAGTATTCATATGGTTAGCCATGTGATGTTTGGAAAGCTATAATGGAGGTCAGAATAAACTACCCTTCTTCATTTCCCAAGTACACACACACACAAACGCACAAAACCATTCACACACAGGCATGCACATTAGGTAACAGCAAGAACCCATCCAGTCTATTTGGAAGTCATTATTGTTCAGAATAAAGTTCATGATTCCTACTGTTATTTTGCCTTTTTATTTTTTTTTTTAATAGAACAATGTGAGCAATGCTACCACTAAGTTTCACCTGTGGCCAACTTGGGGCATATTTTACCTTTTCTTTTCTTCCTTCATTTGTTCTTTTAGCCTTTCCTTGTCTACGCTTCTAACTTTGGCCTATTAGTGACACCTAGTGGTACCTGTGGCCAGCTTTTCCCCTGATTTTGGCTCTCAATATCTTCATGTATGGTTTCAATTGAGAACTGTGAGTCTAGTCCCTCTGCCGTGAGCATCAGGCTGTTTCTCGGCAGACTTTTCAGGTACCAAGACTCCCCTCTTAGAGAAGTTAAAAACTTGCCTTCAATCCTAAGCCAAAATCTGTTTTGACTGCTAGTGAAGGCACCTGTGTGCTGCTAGTTTCACTATAGGGAAGTTTGAAGGGTGTCCACCGATCTGAATTTCCTACTCCTTTACACCAGAAAAGGGTGATAATACTGCCCTTACTAGGCCCTGGAACTCAGATTATGAGACAGTGAGGATCTAAATACCACCTATGTGCTTATGACTCCTAAACGAATGTCTCCAGACATACGTTTGTTGGCGATGCCTACTTGACATTTCCATGGGGGCTATTGTGGCAGAAACAGTGGTGTTCACCAGACATCCCATCGACTACCCCACATTTTCCAGCTCCACTTACAGTTTGTTGCGGCCACATAGCCAGTTTTGAACAATGGGTTGTAGACTGAAGCACAGAAAAGCTGAGATGAGACTTCTCCAGTTGCCTCTTTTTCTGTCGTAAGAATTAACAACATTCTGGATGGTGGAGCCTACACCAGCCTGGGTCCCTGAGTGACTATGCGGAACAGAGACCGCATCCCCCCACCAATTCCCTAACTTCCACTAAGCCTTGAAAGTCACATAACTTAAGTGAGAAATAAATTTTTATTATGTTAAGGCCCCTGGAATTTTAAGGTTGTTTATAACATACAATAGTTTGACCTGATAATTCATAGCTATCTCTAATTTCATTGTGTTCAAAATCGAAATATTAGTTCTCTCCCATAAATCTGCATTTCTTTGTCTTCTCCATCTCTATAAGTGACAACACTGTCCATCTTCAGGCTTAAGGGAGAAATCTGTATGTCTTCCTTGACTCCTCCCTTTTCCTTACTGCACCCCTTCTTGCCCGCCCATGCAGAAAGGAGTTCACATAGCTGACCTGAGACTGCTATCCTTAAAAAGGTCTGCTAGCAAGATTGGCCCTTCGCTGACATGTGAGAACTTGGCAGGTAAACAGTCTCTTACTTTTGTGCCAAAGCCCCATTAACCTCAGTAGGAAAGGAACCAGGTTCAAGAGGCCGAAGAACAGACCTAGAGCCAGCAAACAAAACATGGTGTTTTATTAGCTGCTTACAGAGTCCAGTGGTGGTGGGCTGGGCAGGAGAACTGCAACCGTCTGCAACCATCATGCAGTTTATATGGTATTTTCACTTTACCCCTCCCCCTAATAATCTCCACCTGGCAACTTTCATGTATCCCAAAATTCAGGGCCTCAGTTCCCTGTATTAGATGTTTCTCATAGACAAAGAATTACTCTCCAGGTTGGCTACTCCCAGATTTCCTAGCTCAGAACATGCATTCAGGTGCATCTGCCATACGGGGTCATTCTGAGGGTATGCATAAATTATTGCTATCAGGTGAGTTTACCCAACACCTACACCTACACATATAAAGCTTTCCCTAAATGATAGAAGTGACTCACTGTGCCTAAGCTATTTGTACAAACAATGTGTTCTATGCTGATCACTTGCCTTCCTTCTGAGATTCTAGAACTTGGTACCTGCTAAGCAGAGGTGCCTGTGACCAACCCCCAATAAAAACTTTGGCTGCTGAGTCTCAGTCTTTCCCGGGCAAAAACATTGCAGGCATGTTTCTACATTTTCATTTCTGGAGGAAGAGTGCAGTCTGTGTGACCCCTCGTGAGAGGGAGAACACATAGGAATCCTGCACACAAAAGTCCTGCACGCTCTGCCTGAGTCTTTTTCTTTACAATCCAGCTGTGTATCTTTACTAAGTTTCTGTAATAGGGTAACTGTCATGAGTCCCAGAATCTAGTGAATCTCCGAATGTGAAGGGGTCTTAGGGATCCCTTGATATCCCCCCATATCTAATCCAGCACTGAGTCCTGCCAATTCTTCCTAAAATGTATCTGAAATTACACCGCTTCTTACCTTATCTGCTATCACCACCCTGAAGATGCCATCATCTTTTATCTGTGTTGGACTTTGAGAGGGTCCAATAACACCTTTCTTTTATTTTCTGCCTGAGTTTGGAACCAATTGAGAGACAGAAAGAGATCACGGTGTGAACTTTATTTAATTATGAACATCTCAATTGGGGTGGCTTAAACGTGCAGCCAAAGGGACTGACAGCCTCCTGAATTAAACTCATATATCAAAACTCTCTTAAAACTGTCCTCTCTAGAGGACAGACTAGATTGTACCTTCTCTACGGGTACACAAATCTGTAGAAAGAAGAAAGGAGCTAAGCTGAGCATACCAGGAGAAGTGAGTGAAGGTTGGCGATTTGAATAGCTGAAACACTTCTTGTTCACTCCTGATTTTTATCTGCCTGGTGGGATGCCAAGTCCTGAGCATTAAGTAAATGATACACAGTTGACGTAAGTAGGGGTGTGGAGAAGAGAGTCTGATCAGCAAACACCACCGACCCTGCATTGAGCCTGAAGCAAAACACTGGCCATTTGAACCAAGTCAGGCTTAGCAAACACACACAATGGAGCTATGTGGGCCCAGCAAAGGCAAA